TGAAAAGTGTCGGTCAAGTGAGGAATGGCGATCAGCTGAAGAGCGTGATGATGGCTTCTTACCATGAAGTCGTTCCTGGGTGCGTGCAGCCAATTTACTAATCTCTGCTACTCCAATATCCAGCCCTATGGTCTTTAGCAAGTCATGAATCTTGGCATATTCTGGATTGGTCTCTTCCAGTGATTCTACCTTTACAGATGGAGCTGAAGAAGGCAGGGAGCTTGTCTTCTGCCTCACAACTTCACTCTGAGAGCCTCCAATAGGCTTTGGTGGGGATTCTGCCTTTAAATCCTCTTCTTCATCCCCATAGAGAAATTTCTCTTCATCTTCAATGTCAGGGAAGCTACGCCGCCTTTTTTCCTGTGTACTGCTAGAATCAGCCAACATACTCAGAATGCGGGAAAAACCACTGCCATCCTGACTAGCTTTCTCATGGGGCAGCAAGAAGTCTGTGTGTCGTTCAGGTCCCTCAGCCTTCAAATCCAATTTCTCCTTTCGGCATGGAAAACTTCCAAATTTTTCTCTGAGAGGACTGTTATCTTTGGGCATCCCAGAGAGGGGGCCCCACTGGTAGAGGTTGCCCTGAGGTTCCTTCAAGGCAGTGTCTACCATAGTTCCTTTGTTTTCAATCTGTGAGGCAAAAGCAGCAATAGCACCACTTAGTGGAAGAGATGTGTGTCCAGAGTAGAGAGGGTGATCCTGTTTAGAACTGGTACTGCTAGAAAAACTCTCAAGCTGCAAACACAAACACAACTGATTTAGTCCCTAGGCAGAATCTCAGAACACTAGTAATTGAGATAGATACTTAAATATATTTTCTTCCTGAATTAATGGGGAAGATTTAAGTATGGATAAAAGGGAAGAGGTATCCTTAGCCAGGTTCAAAATATCGTTACAGATGTCTCTGATGCAGTGAGGAAAAACAGGAAATGAGACATGATATCCATAACTTTGCCCATTGTTACAGTCTTAACCAAAAAAAAATTAATTCAGAAGTTTTAGAGACCCCTTTTATTTGCAATGTACCCATGCCCTGCTCTGTCCACCCCACTCCCCAAAAAAAGAAAACATGTAAAATGAAGCTGCTTTGGCTGAAGTGGGGATAAGACATTCTGGAACCCTAAGTGATCAGCCTCCCCTTGCTTCTCTACATGTCCTTAGGCACTTCTTCAGAAGCTTTTATTAATCGTTTATGAGAGACAGCTAAAAACTAGTGGTCTTGCTTGACCATAATTCCATAGGAAAGGAAAAACTATCAAGGGCCCAGCATGGTGAGGTGACTATCTTAAAATCACATAAGGTGGAGACTAACAGATGGTATAATGGTTAAATCACTGGACTCCCACATAGTCAACCTCAGTTCAAGCGCCAAACCCAGCAGCTTAAAACTCATGCTGGGCGTGTGTGTGTGTGCATGCCCAAAAATCTAAGAGGAGAATGTAGGAGAAGGGATTGCCATGTGGCCACCCCTACCCCCGAGGGTGATTTATCACTTTCTATCTGTCTGTCTCTCTAGTAAGTGCACACACCCTATAGCAAAAAATCTCTCAAAACAAACAAAAAAACAACAACAACAAAAAAAAAAACACACACATATAAGGTGGATCCAAAATAGGAATCACTTCATTCCTGGTCTAGTGTCCTACAGCTTATTTTTTGCCTCCTCTCTAAAGATAGATAAGGAAAATCAAATCTGCCTCCTCCCCTTGCCCTTGAAGCTTCGTATCAAAAAAAAACAAAAACAAAAACAAAACAACAAAAACCCATGTTCAAAGATTCCAACAGGGCTATCCAATTTAAGGAACAAACTTACAGTAGGTCTTCTCCAAAATGTATTTAGAAAACCTAATACATGGAAATAGAAACCCTCTACTATGAGGGCTATATATTATAAAATATACTATGAGACCTACAGTTTGGTTTGGAGAGTCCTAGAAGGTATAATAATACTGGCCCAAAGATATCATTAGGGACACAATCCCCAGGAAAGTAACCAGGCTTTACGGTATTAGGATTAGCAAGACACCCTTCAAAAAATGCAGCAGAGACCTGCACGGAGGGCTCCATGTCCACCTCAATCCGCTTCTTCAGAATGGACTTCTTGGGCATCACAGATACTTCGTCAGGCCGATGCAAAGAATATCCTGGTTCTGATGCTGTTAGGACACCTGACAATCCATGTATAGAACAGCTACTGCTGCCACTATCAACTCCCACCAGCTCCTGACTCAAGCTTCTATTTCGTTCCTCTTCTTCCTCTCGCTTTCGCCTGGCAAGGTCCAATTCTCGAAACTCAGGGTCTAGAAACCTAGGGCTTGGGCTTCGTCTACGTTGTCGATAGTTGCGAGTACCTGATGTAAAACTTGGGTGATCCCCTCCCGTGCTGTGTATCTTTTCTGTGTCATCATAACGGGGCCTTTTGGCCTCCCGGCTCCTTTCCTCAGATCGTATAGAGTAGGAACCTTTGAGTTTATCTCTATTCCGTTCTGATCCCCGCAACAGCTCATCATGACAGCTGATATGAGTACTATAATCAGACCGATGCAGGAAAGTTTCTCTTGGTTGGTAGTCCTCATCAAGTTGTCCCAAGAAGGGACTAAGAGGCCCCTCCTCCCGAGAAATATATCGCTCAAGACCCCGAGAACATTGGGAGCTTCGAGTGAAGACAGAATCATCAGTCAGGTCATCCCTGAGGAAAGAGACAAGCACCAGTGAATATAATGGAAAGAGCAAGGCTAGACAAGACTAAGAGACAGACAACTGGCAAGGGGGCTACAGAAGGCTTAGGGCTGGGCCAGCAGGTGGCATGGTGATTGAGGGCGCTGGATTCCCACATGGCCGACTGTGGTTTGAGTCCTGGACCTGGCAGCTTGCTTTCTCCCTTTCCCTTTCTCCCTCCCTCTGGTCAAATTCTTTTTTTAAAAATTAATAATAAGAGTAACAAAATTAAATAAATAATTCTTTAAAAAGAAAAAAAAAGGCGGCTTAGGGCAAAAGATAGTAATCATTAAAAAAAAACAGATCTATGTATAATACATAAAACATTTCCTGTTCCTTTCCCAGGGGCACAAGCTGCTTCAGCCTCTAACCAAAGGAAGATCTTATCAATATATTGGATTGTCAGAAAAAGTCATGATGCATTTTTGCATAGAAAATAGGAAAAAAATCATGACTTTTCTGAAAACTCACTACTTAGAGCTCTTAGGCTAATTTCTTTTTTATTGCCAATGGATATGTATGCTCACAAGAGAAAGATGGCAGGTGGGAGAGAGAAAGTACCCCTAGTGGGGTACGGTCATGCCACAATCCCTTTTCCTCCATTTCTCGACCCTGTCAGGATTTTGGGCAAACTTACACACACATACAACATGTCCCTTAAATTATTAGGGCCTGGACTTGAATCATGGTCATCCGAGTGGGATTCAGCTTTCTATGCACAGCACTTAACTGCCTTGCTTCATGAAGCTGGCCCACACTAATTTCTTTGATTAGACTTTGGAGATGTAAAGTATCATGCTAGGGTTTGGGAGGTGTGAAAATACAACCAACAGATTACAAAGACACTGGTTACACAACCCATGCTAGCTAAATTCTGGCTTTTGCTACTGAAAGTGTAATCTGGACCATTAGAATCAGCAATTCTTCTTAGAAATATAGATTCTTAGACTCTATCCAGGTCTACTAAATCAGAATCTTTAGATTTTAACAAATTAATTTTGTTAAACAGAATTTAACAAAGTCTCTAGGTGATTTGGATACATTTTAAAATTTGAGAAAGTCCAGCAGGTGATGTGGTGATCAAGGTGCTGGATTCCCACATGGCCAACTATGGTTCAAGTGCCTGATCCAGTGGCCTGAAACTTATGCTGGGCATGTGTGTGTGCATGCCCAAAATCCTGAAAGAAGAATGGAGGAGAAGGGATTGCAGTATGGCCATTCCCCTCCCAGGGGGTAATTTCTCACTTTCCCCTCTCTCTTTCTCTGGTGAGTGCATAAACCTTGTGGCAAAAACCTAAAAGGGAAGGAAGGAAGGAAGGAAGGAAGGAAGGAAGGAAGGAAGGAAAGAAGAAAGATAGTTTGAGAAACACCAGTCCAGATCAGTAACAATAGTTTTTTTGTGTGTTTTGTTTTGTTTTGTTTTTAAGAGGTTTTTGCTATCGAGCGCTGTGTGCTCACCAGAAACACAGAGACAGACATAGACACAGAAAGAGAGAAATCATCCCCCAGGGGGGATGGCCACACAGCAATCCCTCTCCTCCATTCTCCCATTGAGACCCTGGGCACGCACACACATATGCCTGGTGTGAGTTCAAGCCACCAGGTCCGGACTTGAACCGCAGCCGACCACATGGGAGTCCAGCAACACAGCCATTAAGCTAACTGCTGGTCCCGTTGTTTGTGTGTGTGTGTATTATTTTTTTCCTTTTTGGAGAGGTTTTTGCTATAGGGCACGTGCGCTCACCACACAGACAGAGAGAGACAGAGAAACAGAAAGCAAGAAATCACCCCCCCCAGGGGGGATGGCCACGCCGCAATCCCTTCTCCTCCATTCTCCTCTTGGGATCTTGGGCACGTATGTACACATGCCTGGCGTGAGTTTAAGCCACCGGGTCCGGACCTCGAACCACAGTCAACTATGTGGGAGTCCAGTGACATAGCCATTATGCTAACTGCTGGCCCTGTTTGTGTGTTTTTAAAGATCCTCACCATGCTGTGCTCCTCCTACCTTAGCCACTGGAGTAGAAAGGACTATAGACCCATGCTGCAGTGTCTGTTTTGGGGATGACCCAGAAATCAAAACCCACGTTGCCTCAGTTCCTCAGCAGCTGCATCTACAGCTGGGCATGATCAATGGTTTTTAAACTGTGTTCCCCAGAGATACTAGAGTGATAAGAAGCTGCTTACAGGAAGAGGGTGCCTGGAAAGCAGGGTTCTGGGCCTTTTATCCCACTTAAATCCTACTAGCCCTCAACTTTCTATATTAAAGTTCTGTATAATATTTCATCTTGGGGAAAAAAAAAAAAAAAAGAGAAGAGTTTCACTGTGGGCAAAAAGTATTTTAACTATTGACCTATCTAATTAGCATGATACTCTCATGAGTCCAGAAGGCTTTCCAATGCTCTGTCTTGCTGGCTAGCACATTAAAAACCACAAAATTCCCTCAAGCCTGTTCTCTACCCTCTTTTTTGCCTTGTTTGGATATCCTCTGCTAATCCTGGGCATAGAAAAGAGTGATAATTTGGCTCATTATGTGTTTTATTTCACATAAATACAAAGGTCTTGAACATGTGAGGCATGAAGGTAAAAATACAGGATATGACATCTCTCTTTTCAGCTCAGAGCTCTACACCACACTCAACAATCCTAACCTTTTTTGATATTATAGCCACAGAACTTCTCTTTGAAAAAGAGAAAAAAATTTAATCAGTTAGAAATGAAGATCCTCTACCACTTCAATCATGTAACTTTTAAGTAATCTGAATATAAAATTCAAGTTCTTACCTATCATTAACACTCTAGAGTGAGGATGGTAATTGCTGATGTCTTCTATAGTTTCTAGTAGCTACTTTTGTTTTTATGAGTTTCTAGAAATTACTTTTTTGTTTTTTAAAAGTTGCTTTACTCTCTCTGGGACTCTGTTAGCAAAATATCAAAAAGTAGCCTTTCGTTATTCATCAGCCTTACCTTTGTTAAAAATTGGAGACCTGGGCAAAAACCATAAATAGGTTTACGAAAGGCTATACAGGATAAAGTTTACCTTCTTCTATACCAAAAAAAAAAAAGCCTTTTATGGGAATTCAGGTTCCCAACCTCTTTCTAAGAATGTGCAGAATTTTAGGTCATAGTGTATAGTAATATGAAATAGGAAGGAACAGAAATTAACCAAGGATGCTCTCTGAAATCAAACATAACTGGAGTAAAACATTTACTCTGTAGGTATTTCAGCCATAAACACACCTAACTCACCTATTCTCTTTCTTTCTTTTCTTTTCTTTTTTTTTTTTTTTTTGAGAGATTTTTGCTATATGGCACATGTGCTTGCCAGAGTCAGAAAACAAAAAATCACCCCCCCCAACCCAGGGGGATATAGTCACACCACAATCCTTTCTCCTCCAGTCTCATCTTGGGATCTTGAACATGTATGTACATGTGCCCAGTGTAAATTTTAAGCAGCTGGATTCAGGATTCAAACCGCAGGCAACTACATGGGAGTTCAGCAATATAACCATTATGCCACCTGCTGGTCCCAAACACACCTATTTTTTCTTTCCTTTTTTTAAAGAATTATTTTATCTTCCTTCCTTCCTTCCTTCCTTCTTTCCTTCTTCCCTCCCTCCCTCCCTCTCTCCCTCCCTTCCTTTTAATTTGACCAGAGTAAAGGACAGAGTAAAGCAAGCAAGTGAGCAAGAGAAAGAGAAAAAACAAGCCACCAGGTCTGGAACTCAAACTGCAGTTGGCCATGGGGGAGTCCAGTGCCCTTAACCGCCACACCACATGCCAGCCACTTACACCTATTTTCAAGGGGAAAGCTCAGGAGTTGAATTACTCCATTGTTATAAAAGAATCTTTCATATAAAATGTCTCTGATTGTGTTAGTATAGTGTAGGCTCTACTGTTAATGGCAAGTTCATCCACACTCTCATGTTTGGCATCTCACTAGAACTATTATATGTTATTACTAAATGGCATACTAGCCCAATATCTAATCTACTACAAAACAACAAGAAGCTAGAAATGAGATGGCTCTAAGAAAACCTCAGTCAAGACTTGGAATTCACAGCAAAAAGAGGTACAGAACGATGAAAGAAGGCATAAAAAAGTTTAGTTTAAAAAAAAAATCTATCATGCAAATACAGGCAGAAATCAGGTTGTTTATTAGCTCATGCATTCCTTCCCTAGGACCTCCTAAGAATAAAAGAGAGAACTGACTGGCTATGGTAAGCATGAGCCATAAAAAATGTCCCATCTCCTGTAGCCTAGTGTGTTCAGTGATGGATACTCTCTAAAACCCTTGGTTAGGTCCAACCATTCCCTAAAATAAGGTTTATTTATTTTAAAAATTAATTGTTGGGTGTAGGTGATGGGTGCACGAAGGTTCACTGTACTAGTCTCTGTACTTGGTGTTTACAAAATTTCATTAAACAAGTTTTAAAATATATATAACATGTATCCAAATAAAAGCATGCATACTCATGTTCACAGTGACATTATTCATGGGACCAGCAGATGGTGTAATGGTTATATTGCTGGATTCCCATGTGGTCGATCATGGTTCAAGTTCTGGATCTGGCAACTTAAAACTCACACCAGGTGCATGTGCATGTGTGCCCAAGATCTCAAGAAAAAAAACTGAGGTCATCCCCTCTGAGGAATGATTTTTCGCTTTCTGTCTCTCTGCTGAGTGCATGTGCCCCACAGCAAAAATCTCTCTTAGAAAAAAATCAGGGGCATTATTCATAATAGATGAAATGTGAAAACCTAAATATCATCCATCCACTCACCACTGATACATAAATAAACAAAATGTGGTGCATCTAATTCAATGAAATATTATCAGCAGTAAAAAGGAACATCAAAACATGGATAAACCTTGGATCCAGCACATGGCACAGTGGTTAAGGCACTACAAGATTACCACAAGGTCAACAGCAGTTTGAGTCCTGGACCTGGCAGTTTGAAAACAGCTCC